CAATTCTTATGACATTGGTTCAGAGAATTTAGTACTGGGTCAACCAGTTATCTCCTAATTGATATTTAACAATTATTCCATGAGCACGCATTGGATATGAGATGATAGATAGCCAATGAGGCGCGTAGTGCCGAGTTGGCTATAATCATCTAATATCCAACAAGGGCGAGTGAAATAATTGTTTTATTTTAAAAAACACCCCCAAGATATTAGACAAATCTTCTCGACTTTATTTTGTTAGAAGAAACCGGATGTTACAATGTACAGATATTAGATTATGGTATATTGGCTCATATACCATAATGGCTAAGCCAATAAAAAGTGTTGAATTGCATGATCCAATGATCCAGTTTTTAATAATTTTCTTTATTCTCATCCCTTGTCTGACAGACATAGTATTGATATTTTATTTAGTATTGATAGATTGAGGAAAAATTCTTTCTTGGTCACCCATGGGAGTGAAAGGATCAAATTATGATAGGGATACAAGGATCACTTTTTTCTCTTGCCATTTTAGGTATAACTTTTTAAGCTTCACCCATAGTGCTATCAGTAAAGGATAATAGTTTCTTAATAAACACCTTCCTCAATTAGGTTCCCCTTCTTCCAATAAGTGCCCCTCCTTTTAGCCAACATTTTGAGTAAGTGCCTTGGCACTTATTCGAGGAAATGCTTTCCGTAGGTCAACAAATTAGCAATCATAGCCTTTGCTCACAATAAACAAACTATTATAATCAGAAAATCAGCATTCTTCCATCAAAATTAAAGCTTACTGTACGTTCTCGTACAGTACAGTATTTACATGTTTTTGTTTTATGGTTTGTTTGTCCTCCGTTGTATTTTTCGTTGTTTTTTATCCAGATCAAATATAACCTGACTATGATAAAAGAAAGCAATAATCAATTCACACTCCAGATATTTATTCAAGTACTTACCAGTTCTCTAAGCTCCAAATTAACTTTTTCCTGCTGTCTGATTAAATGTGATTTGTATGCAGCTTGGAATCTAACCATAAGGGGCTGAAAAAAAAAAAAAAAACACCAAATACAGTTATATTGGAAGATTTACAATGAATGTGTATCTTATTTGGCCCTGAAAACGTCAATGGAAAATATTGGTAATGAAGACAATGTTTACTTACATGATCGGGATCAAGAACCACCATGTCACTCTCCCCGTCTGAACCTGATTCCTCTTCATCCCTAAGATCTCCATCGCCATCTTCACCGATATCAGCCTCAATCTCATCCTCTCTAGCTTCCTCGCCACTGCCAGTGATCTCCTCAGAGAGCAATGTCTGCGCTCCAGGCACTCCTCGCGGATCAAACGTTGGAATATCCTGTGTCAAAGTTGCGGTAGGGACGAGACCTTCACTCTCTGCACCGGTTACAACGGTGTCCACATCACTCGGATCGCTCAAACGAAAGTCCTTCAATGCTTTAACGGTCAATTTACTGACTGCATCTTGAATAGACTTTTTGGAATCAGCTGAGCCTTTTGATCTTCCAGATACCGGCCTCTGTTCGCCTCCTTTTCCTTCTGAATCACTGGGTCCGTTTTCTCCTAACTTGTCCGCCATATTTCTTCCTTCAAAACTTGGTTGAACTTTGTTTCCTTGGCGACTTTGATGTTGAGCCCGCGATCTTGAGTGACGTCACATACATACCATTTCCTTATTTGAAGAGCTTACAGCCACAGGGATTATGCGTATTTTGGCAAGAAACAGAAGGAACTGTGAAACATGTAGGGTAGTTGTAGCGATTATTTCTCAGCTGATTTTTAAAAAACCCCATTCAAAATGGGTAATCGGTTTAGCAGACAGAATGAGGGAGTCGAGGATTTCGACGTTTCTTCGCATCCTTATCGTTATCCTCCGAATTTAGGTAAATATCTCTCGCTTTTTTGAGGGTTTAAAAACATGAAAACGCTATCTACTATGTTTGTTATGGCATTAGCATTCCCTCCAAATGGTTCCTAACTTTCGGATTTGGTCTGTAGGAAAGAACTTCTTTGCCGATTATTTTCTCATGGGAGGATCGAAGTTTGATACCCCGCAGCCAGAGGCGTACCTTTTCGGAGAGAACAGCGACTTAAATCTACTAAATCCTAAGCCAGTGTCGGTAAGTGTTGTATCTAAGTATTCGCTTCTGAAGGAAAACGTGTCGAATTGAATGTAACTGCTGTTTCTAGGTTGACACAGGCTGATGTAAAATTCTTAGTTACAGTCAAAGAAGACACAGCTTTTTAGAGTTGTGTTTACTTTATCCAAAGCTAAGCATCACCACAGTGGCCGATTCGTTTAGTTTTAATGTTAATTTTCAGCGGAGCAGAGTGACTTTTCCTTGTGAACAGACTTTGATCACATTTCTTTCTTGTGACTGTAATTCACAAGTGTGGAACTTTGAACGAGATTCTTGACCTGTTACATGTAAATGAGCAAAATCGAGTCCATTTTCTTGTAAAGCAGTGACTCTTTGGATAGGATCAAATTTCCAATCTTGTTGACGTTTTCTTTTTGTGAAAGGGAATTTAGCTTAACATGCACATTTTATGCTTTACAATGTCTTAGTAAAACAATCTAAAGGAAAGAACACATGGTACCATTAGAAGGGAAGGTTATCCCAATATTGCACATCCATCAAATTTTGATGGGAGAATTTTGTCTCTAAAACTCAAGTAAAATAAACTACACTAATGATGATACAAATTGATTTAATTTTAGCTATGAATGTATTAATTTTGAAAGGGCAACGGAGTCTTTTACTTATTTTCTTCTAAGGGCAGACCTGACCGCTACCCATTTAATTTTTTCCTTCTCAAAATCGTCCACGGCATGCAGTTTTTACAGAAGATGTTGTTCATTGTGGTTATGTGGATAAATGAACATTTGAGTGTTAGTCAAAATTTAGCCAGCAACTGGTGCATTTGGATATCTACCTTGAAAAACACACCAGCTTTTCCAAATGCTTTTAGCTCAATTTTCAGTATAGAAGCATGTGATTGTGCTGCCTACTTTATCACTGTCCGCTTACTCAAAATCTTTTTGACAACCCTGTGAGTTGTTTGTTCAATTTATTTCGAGCGTTGAGTTCAAATGAATTCTGTGAGCATTATGGTGTTATAGAAGTATTAACCCTTTAATTAACTCCCATGAGTGATCAAGAAAAAACTTCTCTTAACAATATCAAAACAAAATTAAGCAGACGAGTGATGAGAACAAGTCAAAAAATATTGTTACTTTAGAGGATTCTTAGTTGATCCAATTCCAACTTCTCCAAAACACACATCTCAGAAGAATTTTCTAGCAAAAAGGAAGGAAAATTCAGGGCTCAACACTAACTGTAGCCAACAAGCCACAGACTAGTAGACTTTTTATTTCCACTGGCCAGTTTGGCTAGTAAATGAACTGAAATTGTTGTAACATCTTAGCTGTCACCAGCCACTTGGCTAGTAAATTGAAAAGTTAGTGTTGAGCCCTGGAATTATTCACAAGATCTTGTGAGCGAAAGGGTTAAAACTTAAGACAACTTGAGCTAAACTCACTATCAGGGTCTGACTGACGTGCAGACTGCAGCCCAAAATGTGGAATTGTCAGCCACTATCATCCTATGTCAGTTTAAAAAATTCAATAGTTTTTTTGTCTGATGTTATTCAAGTATTAATTTTTTGTCTTTTCCTTTTTTTTTTTTTCATATTTTCATTCCTAAGTTTCCATACAGGCAGCCTCTAGACAATGAACCAACAAAGACACTTAGAAGTCTTGTGAATCTAAGGAAAGACTCATTAAGGCTGGTGAAGTGAGTGCATTGCTTTCTTACATAAATTTGTTTTTCACATTTCTTGTAACTGCTGGTGAAAATTCAAAATCAGGTTTTCAATGCATTTTTGTGTGATCTTATATGAGTAATATTTGTTTTTTTATAGGAGCTTAGATCAAGAAAGCTTTGGAATTGAGTTTATGTTTGATGCAGATGTGAAGTGTGCAATAACGATACATTACAAGGCAACAGAAGACTTATCCACAGGCTTAGCAATGTAAGTTCAAAAGTTAGATCACAAGAAATGCTCTCTGCCATCAGTCAAATCAATTATAGAACATTGTCAAAAACTTCAAAGCACAGTCAACCTGTAGGTTAATTTTAAGGAAAGGTTAACCCTTTCATTTGTAGTATCCACACAAACAATAAGCCATTTCCAACTTTTCTTGGTTCAAAGAGAAATTACAACACAAAGACAAGGCAAAGTGTGAAGCTTCTCTTATCAGTGTAAAGAATAAAGAGTTGTGGTAAAGAAAATGAATAAAAATATCTCAAATTTTGCAAAATTAAAATCCTATGAAGTGTGCCTGTTTGATTTTCCAAATTTAAGTTCTTGTGAAATTAAGTAACAATAAGGTACTTGAACAGCCAGTTAAATAACTAGTTACCAGGTCTTAACAAGAACCCAACCTGGACATTAGATTTGTTTCAGTATAACGTGGTTTCTTGTGTTCCAGCTACACATCACAAGATCCACTCACATCTTCCCCAAAGACACACTTCCCAAAGGGATCTGGTCAAGTGTATAACAGTTCTCCTAAACACAAGATCAGACCTAGTTTGTTTTCTGAGGATGAGGTGAGTTTTCATTAATAGCCATGTCTTAATTAAATTATTGATGTGTTTATAATACAATTGATAACATAATGACAAAATTCTCTTCTACACCATGAAACACTGTATCCTGTATGCCAGATATTTGTAGGGTGGTACTTGTGATACTGAATTTATTGTGCTATATCAGGGTCACAACCCTAGAATTTACTGTGCACTGATTCATAAAGCAGTGGTCACATATACCTAAGAAGGAACCCTTTCACCCATTACAGTAACTAGCATGTAATTTCCACCTACAATATCATCCTTGAATCACACATTATGGTCACAAGAATAAAGGAAACTATTGTCAAGTTATGAAGTTCCTGCAGGACTCGACACTAACTTTTCAACTCAGTTTGTTTACTAGCCAAAATTGCTAGTGGAAATTGAGAACCATCGGGCAAAACTGAATTTCTACTAGTCTATGGCTAGTTAACTACCGTTAGTGTCAAGCCCTGGCCTGATTGTGAAACAAATTCTCCTTGTTGGCACCTTTGCAAATGTACAGAGAACAGTATTGAGAATTTATTAGATTTGCCGACAGGCAGGGACACTGCACAGCTTCCGCCAATTACAGTGGGCACAGTAAACCCACCCATCCCAGCCCAGGGGAGGACATCCACCATGCAGTAATCTCATGTGTGGGAAATTAACGTCTCCTGCCCCCAACCCTGCAGGAGACGGGACCTCCATTTATTCTTCCCTATCCGAGAAGACTAGAATATCTAAACATTTCTTGATGTTATATAGAAAGGTAGCAAATTCTTCTCAATTATTTTAAGACCTTGAGTGTTGGTCCGGCAGGGGCTCAAACCCTTGACCTCCCGCACAACAGTCCAGCATACTATCCATTAGGCTAACTGGGCGGCGGTTATATGCATACTGTTGTGTTAGAGTGTGAAGAGTTAAGTGAAAAAGTTCTACATTGTCTCTTTCCAAACACCACCTATAGGAAAACTTAGGCAGATGGTAACACTATACTATTATATTATTGGTGTGAACATTAGCAAATTAATCACATGGCTTCCCTAGTGGGACACGTACTTGTGAGGTGTGAATGTGTTGCTTCATGAAACGAGACATCAAATGTTTGTGATTGCTTTCACAACTCATACAACCTTACTTTTCTCTGTAGCATCCCATTGTCATTTTCACATCACATTTAATTGGCTACATGTACATCTCTTTGTTAGCCTACTGAATGAAATAACTGGATTCCTGAAAAAAGACTCCTCGGTACTTGCAGCACACTTTAAGTTTCTCTTTTCAGATTGTCTTGTATCCCCTTGTGTAGCTGGGGAGAAACTGATGTTACCTTAGATGTCACCTAGGGCTTTATTCCATGTATTCCTTCAGTTAATGTTAAGTTCTTTTAGTCAAATTTAATTTGGAATTCTGTGATTCATAATTGTGTGATGTTGTGTTTTTTTGTTTTTGTTTTTTTTTTAATTTACTTATACCAGCATTATTTGGTTTCACATATATAATTATTTATATAAATTTCTTTTTTACCTTTAACGCTAGTTGAACTATTGCCCTGTTAAGCATACATGCATTCCAGTTGTGATTCAAATTGATGCAGATGAGGAAGGTATGGTGAAGATTAAATTGAATATATTCAAACAGTTTAATGATTGGAGAAGAGTGTACCAAATAAAGCCATGATACTTGCAGATAAGCTGCAATTTTAGCAATTGCAGAAATGAAGCCTGAAAAAAATTGAGGCTTTGATGGGATACAAACCCATGTTTCCAAGATACTAGTTGGGTGCTATTGCCAAATGAGCTACAAAGCCACATGTCGGTAGTGGGACACATTTTAGAGGGTTCTTTTATCGTAGTTGAGCACTAGAAGTTTAGCACTCTTTACTGAGGCACTCCAAAGGAGGCCTTAGTGTAAAATTTGGGTTCATTTGTCTTGACTGACAAATTCAAGTTGAAGCTTCTAAAAGTACAATTGTCTCAGCAAGTTTTTTTGTTTGCTCCAAGGACTAGTTGAAAAGTCTGTGAAAATTCTATGGGAAAGAGAAAACATTTTTCACATACTTTTCAAATGTTTTCCATACATGTATGCCTTTCACATGGAAAGTTTCACATTCACATGAGATATTTTGGTTAAGAAAACCATGTTGCTACAGTTTTATTACAAGCACCCTAGTATGTGCAGCTATAAATCTAGTTTAGTACAAAATCAATGCTCATTTATACTGTTGTTGTTTTAGTTTTGTTCTCTCAATCTTGAATATTTGGCCCTTTAGTGTTTGCTTCTTTTTTTGCATATGGTCTATCTATTGTTTCCTATTAAGGGATTGGAATTTTTAATGCTATGATCTAATGATAACTTTATTTCCAGGCTGATAATAACAATTTATTTACTAACATGTCATGATACTTCTCAAGACCTCTTCCTCTCTTCCCTAAGTAACACTGGATCAGTTATTTAATACATCTTTTGTTCACAGAATATCTTGGTCACTCTAACGTCACACTGGCAACATTTGAAAAAATGTCTGATGGATCTTTCATCATAAAGCCTATCAAGCAGAAACAGATGGTATGATCATAGCTTTATCTTGAACAATTTAACATCTACATGCACTTTACAAGCTATGTTCAGTAAAGTAGTTGATTTTTTTTGTTCAAGCCACTTAGTATTTTGGAATAATTAAAAAATTCCAATATGAGGGGAAAAAACGCTTGTCTTCTACTATTAAAAGGTTGATGGTCTCTGTTACCTCCTCCAAGAAATCTATGGTATTGAAAACAAAGTTAATCTAAAAAGTACAAAGGTTAGTGTCTAATTATTATGGTTTTTCAGAAATTGCATTCACATACTTGTAGCTTTGATCCTGTGGCTTTGTAGGATTTTTTCATTCTTAATGCTGCATTTTGATATTACCATGATCCGTTGTGGGTTTAATATATGTGGGGTCTTCCATGCAGTTGGTCATGTCAAGCCATCTGGTTTAAGTTAAAAAACTTCATTAACTTGACCTCAGGCCAAGTCAAGTCTTCTATCCCCTGAAAGGTAGTAATAAATGCACTTACTGGAGATAGACGGAAATGAATTGTAGGAAACTGTATGATTACCTTTTTTGAGACAAAGAAGGTTGATGGGAGGAAAATGGTTAGTGTTTTACACCTGTGAGTGACCAAGACAGAATTTCTCCTCACAATATGTATAGGTAATCGCAGGGGGCCGAGTAAAATTAAGGATTAATTGGGAAGTTGCTGAAATTGCCCAAGTCCCACAACGACAAGGGCAATTTCTGCAACTTCCGAAAACACAAGTGATATTACTCCTTAATTTTACGACGAACCATGTGATTACTTGTTTATAATTTAAGGGGCAAAATGTTTCTTACTGATCTCATGCAAAACGGGATGCCATTGTTACAAAACAAACAGAAATTTCTTTACCTTGGCAGCTGTTGCTAAGCGATTTTCAGCCAATTATTTTCAAGTAATTTTGCCCGGGGCAATTACAAAAATTAAGAAAAAGTGCCCTCTGTCTTGACCAATCACAATTCAATAATTTTGCCCCTTATATGATAACAAAAGTGAATTATAAGACAAGTGACAAGAATAAAGAAAAATTTAAATTGGGAGGCAGACATTAAGGAGAATTACTGATGTGATCTTGGGGATAACAGGGGCAGATCCAGGAATTTTTGATTTGGGGGGTCCAAACTTTGGTTCAGAAAGGACTGTTGGACTCTTTTGAGGCAATTACTTCTCCCCAACACCCCCCACACCCCCTCCCACCAGTGGTGGTTGTATGTTATAATTCCTTGGCCGCTTACCATTTACTTGGATTCATTAATTTAAAAAATCAGCCAGATAAAAAGTGATATACGATCCTGTCAATGTAAGAATTTCAGTCTCAAAGTTGTAAGCGTCAGATCTGATAGGGGGGTCCAAACCCCCCGGGCCCTCCCCCTGGATCCGCCACTGGATAAAAGGCCCCCTTATCAAGTATGCAAAATGTAGACAGGCTAAGCACCTTTTGAAGTTGTTTTTTCTTGAGTAAGTAATTCTTGGGGTATGGCATTTTTTTTGTTATTTAAATAATGCTTTTTGTTGTCAATGTGCATACATCTGTCACAGGATGAAGATAATGAATTAGAAGAAACTGGTTTAGAGTGTGTAATTTGCATGAGTGACATGCGAGATACTCTGATCCTACCCTGTAGACATCTGTGTCTTTGTAGAGATTGCGGTGAGTTGACTTTTGTCGCATTTTGTGATTTCATATCAATATGTCCACCACACAGCGATCATCAGTTGAGTGAAGCACAAAAAAAGTTTGGTGATTGGGTTTTGACTGGAAAAATAATGGTGTTGTAACAGGCAACCTTTTCGCTTCCTGTGGTAAATGAAAGTCAAGATCCCTGCATCACTAACCATTAAACTTGAAAGCTTGCCAAAAGAAGTCAAATGACACATTGCTATTGGAAACGGAGCCAGTTTCCCATGACAATAACAGGATTTTAGCATCAAAATGTGGTCGCCAAACTTCCTTTGCATCCCACGCAACAAAATTGTAGTATTTGGGTCAGGGTATATGACAACATTCTTTAAAATGTCCACTGCACTCTTTTTTTGTTTCATTTTCACCAAGTGATTGAATTGGTAAACAAATCATATGAGATTCACAAGATCACATGGTTCCAACACTATGGACTTCCCACTGCTCAACTGATAATGTGGTTGTAGTGAATTAACGAGTGCTGGTTGCTCTTAATACTTTGACTCTCACAAGTGACTAGCATCTAATTTAACTGTACCATATCACCCTTGAATCAACTTCAAGGTCACAAGAATAAAAGAAATGTTCACATACTAAAGAAGCTCTTGATTCTTTAAGAAATTCTCCTTGTCAGCATCATACAAGAACATTATGGAGAATATGCATATTGATGTTAGGTTGTAAACGATGAAGAAATTTGAGTACCTTGCATAAATATTATGGCTGTTTCAAGCTGGCTACTTATTTTCAGACACATTAACTGCTGCTGGAGTCATTTTAATTTTTTTTTTCTCAATACTTTCAGCTGAATCACTAAGATATCAAGCAAGTAACTGCCCCATTTGCAGATCACGTAGGTGGCTCTTCAATGTTTGTAGACAATACAGTAGAGCAAACACACAATACTATCAGTATTAACTCATTGACAAGAATCACAAAACTTCATGATGTCATGTAGTTTTTGTTTTTTTAGATAGGAAAGTGATATCAGGTTGAAATCTCAAGTATCCTAAGCATTAACCCTGCTGCTGCCAAACTTTAATTCTAAATCCTATGCATTTCAGACAACGTCTATTTCAATACCATTCCTAAAAGATTGCTGAATTCTTGATCATTTTTCAGTAGCCCTCTATTTTAATCATCTGTTACTGTTTAACCCATAGCATTTCATGCTTTGCTACAAATCTGTGCTTATATCAAGAAGCAAATTGGCCCAAATTCTCAGGTATGATACTCTGAAAATGGCAAAGGTCAATGGACAGTTTTGTTGATTTAGAAGCTGCAGATAGATGTAGATGGGATTTTCCAATAGTGTTACCAATTATTTATCGAGTGGTTGGGGGGGGGGGGAAGGGTGTTGAGTGGAAGAAAAAGGGTCACGTGTCCACCTCCCCTCCTCACCATCAGGTATTCCGTTGGGATGTCTTGTACTGCCTTCGTTCAAATGAAATATCGTGCTCGCAAAGCAAATGACAATTCTTTTTCTACTCATTTCCCCCAATATCTATATACTAATGACCCATGATCCACATCATAACTAGAATCATTAGAAATTTTGAACGTTTTAGTGAGCAGGCGTTATTTATCGCCTGGAGCCTTTGGGTCGCAGTTAATTAGCAGTCAATTTTCTGTAGTCCCTCTTCCCCACTCTCTCCCGTTCCATCTGAAAAAGATGTGATCCCCAAAATCCTCCAACCAACCCCCCTCCCGACCCCCTCTGCGATAATGAGTGACTGATACCTGAGTAAATATGAAAATGGCCGACCCATGGAACAAATCTACCGTGAAACGTTTACACCATACGCGAGATCGATGCAATTTTCAATCTAGCTCATAACGTGCTTGCTTATTTAAGTGTTAATTTTGTTTTGAAATGTTATTTTGATTATCATTCTATCCCTTGCTTCTCTCGAATCAGGAAACTGCTCATGGAGAGAATGCGTGGCCTGGGTATGAAGAGATTCCTCTAGTAGAAGCACTAAATGGAACAATCAAACCAGACAATATACCAGAAGGTATTGGTTTGATATTTGAAGGTTATTGTAAATAAAAAAAAAATTACAAGAGATGAAAAAGTATAATTGCATATGCTGTCATTGCACTCGAGGAAACCTGAGTGACCATGGGTTCAAGTTGTGAGTTTGTGAAGTCAATCTCAGCGCGTGCTACAAATAGAATCACATTATCTATTATTTTGTTTTATTACTGGAATTGGTTTAAAGAAAAAAAAAGTCATCCCACCTACTCATGGGCCATGGCCGCTTTTTTAAGAACGCCGCGCTGTGCCGCTTTCCTTGAATTCTCACTGGCTTGCTGATTTGTCTACGTCTCTTCTAACTGGACGTTAATGTTGCCTTTCTTGGGTTCAGAACAACTCACATTATAAGATATGGCTTGATTAAGTCATTCACTCTTCAATTTATGGTCGCGGGAAAATGAAAAAGGGAAGACATGAAACTCAAGCGAATCTGTTCAAGTAGCGGTTTTTCTTCCTCATACCTCACCTCTATTTATCTGTGTATTTCGTCATCACAGAAGCCGTTGCGCGCATGCGTCGAAGATCAGCGTCAAGTATTCGATCCTCGGGCAAAAGGAGAGTTGAGAGTGCTCGCGGTCAGCGTTATGTTGAGAGATCCCTTTCCGCGTGTTCAGGGATGTCGCGACCCAGCACAGCCCCTGTGAGTAGAGGCAGAATTGAACAAGTGGGGGAGCCTGCAAGTGTTGAGCGAATTCAACGGCAGGAGGCTACATTAGAGTCAAAAGACGTGGTCACGATGATTAATAGTGCAGAAATCGAAGAAGCAACGTCGGTGCACGAAGAGGAACAAGGTAATTACAGTTTATTGATATTTTGATGTTTCGTGCAGATGTTGAACGTTTGTAACGATA